GCCTTTTTAATGAATTAGACGAAGAACGATCACATCTTCCGCACACCTGATTGGATGTTTATAACAACCAATCCGCTGCTCGGACTATCTTTTAAATGGTCCACGGTGGAGACTGGCTTCTTTTCTTTTTTTTGGTGGATAGCAGTTTCAATGGATAATCGTGGAGGTAATCTTAATGTTCCTAAATTTAACCTTTTTTCCTAAGTATTGTATAGTGTCTTACTCTAACCATTTGCCGTGTTTATTTTATTTGTGATCTTTTTTTTGGAGGAGGAGGAGGGGAAACTTAAACTCAGCAATACTATAACATTTTATCGAATAGCATAAATATGTATTGTTGGTAATTTTTTATATAAAAAGGTATTGCTGGTATTTTTACTATAAAAATGTATTTTTATACTTTCAAAGATTTTTTTTGTGTGTGTGGGGGGGGGTTATAATATGCCCATAACTGGGACATTAATATGTATTATCACCCCCGGTCAGGGTGGACCTGAGGACAACAACAATTAATAGGTGGTTCATAAAAAAACTTCCAATCTCCCAAACGGGCCCTTGCTGACGGATATTGTTTATGGTGAACGTAGTCAATAATAAAATGGCGTATATGACACGTTCGGTGGAAAAGGGGTGTATTCAACAAAAAATCGAAAATTGCTTTTTTTCCCTACAAATTATTCATTATATCATATCCAAGTATTTTACAAAGAAAAATTAGAGCCGATTACACAATATTTCAAGCTCAATTTAGATTTCTAGTTCGTAACCTTGCAATGAGATGAGGTAACGTAAACTGTAGATTTGTCTGACGAACATCATTACATTATTGTTACATAATTATAGTGAAATCATTAAGGTTTTTTTGTCAAAATCATTTTATTTTTGATTTTATATTAACTTAAAATATTCCTTTTTACATGCTTTATTTTTTAAAATGAAATAAATAAGTCCAGAGTGTCACGTTCAAATCTCGGTGTCGGTTGTTACTTATTTTCTTCCTGAATGACGCTATTGTATTAATTAATCAGTGTAATGAGTCTGACCATAGGTTTCGTTTTTAAAAAAAAAAAAGCTACTCTACTCAAAAGAGAAAGCAATTTACTAAGACGAAAATGTATAGAAAGTGCTTTAATCGCTAGAATAGCCACAGTAAATTTACCCCCGGGTTCTTCTATTATCACAACGTGGGATATTTAATAATAAAAGTAATAAAACATAAGCAAAAAGAAACTAAATTAAATTGACGAGACTATATGACGCGTTCGGTGGAGGAGGGGCGTATTAAACAAAGAATCGAAAATTGCTTTTTTCCCTGCAAATTATTCATTATATTATATCCAAGTATTTTACAAAAAATTAGAGTCGATTACACAATATTTCAAGCTCAGTTTAAGTTTATAGTTCGTAATCTTGCAATGAGATGAGGTAACATAAACCATAGATTTGTCTGCAGAATATCATTACATTATGGTTACATAATTATAGTGAAATCATTAAGGTTTCCTTTTATCAAAAGCTTGTTATTTTTGGTTTTATATTAACTTAAAATATTCCTTTTTACAGGATTTATTATTGAAATGGAATAAGATCATTTTAAATTTCAGAATTTTGCTATTGCCCATCAAAATGACTGGCAGAAAGCAATCTAAAAAGAACAATGAGAAAGAGAGGTAACAAAGCATAAACAAAATAGCTCCAATTTGTTCAACTTAGGAAAGTTAGCATTGCAGCCAAATTATTCTAAAATGCTGCCAATAACAAAGAAGAAAATGAAAAATACTTAACAACAAATCGAATATAACCTCAAAATTTATATTATTTTTATTTATTTGTCATGTAAATTTCCATAAAATTTGATATTTCCTGTAAAAATTTCTAAATAAATATTATAATTGTTATTATTTTACTTAAGTGTAAAGTAGCCCTACATTTACAATTCCTTACGGCTAACCATGAACCATTTGTGTCTTAGTGGCTTTATTGCCTAGCTTGGGATGAATTTGATTTAAAAAATGTAACTCCACGTTCAACGAAAAGTTACAGAATTCAAGGAACATTTCATTTAATCACTAGCAGCATGGCCCGGGGTTGCCCGTGCTTGATTCAAAAATCGTACGACTCATACAGCAATCGCTATCACTTGACTTAAAATATTTTTGCCCTTCCTTGCCTTTAAAGAAGTGTCCTTTGCTGTGCTGATGTTGCTATATGCCTTACTTCTTGCCTATCTCACACTGCGAATTTTTTCTAAGCTCTATACTAAACATTAAATCTGTTACGAAAAAAGAACTAAAAAAATTAACACAAAACGATCATCTCAAGGACTCGTAACTGGAAAAACCGAATAAAAGAAAGAATGTTAACAAAAAATACTTTTTCACGCCCAACCCAGTTCTGCGGAATCAGCATCAACGTTGAGTTTAAGCAAGCGAATGAGCCAAATGGAGGAAAGTGCCATGCAGATTTAAATTTTTCCCACTTGTGATGAATGCAGCTATCGATTTTTTTTTGCATGCTAGTTAACATTCATGTCAGTCAGCTGTTGGCTCTCATGCTGGCTAATAGAATCTTTCTGCCTATTCGTGGCAGTCAGCTATTGGATCTCACTCTGGCCAGTAGAAAATGGCTGCACACTACATGAAAACTACCGTAGAAGTATGAAAAAAATCGATTATTTCCACTATCGATGGGAGTTGAGAAATGCAAAGTCGGTCTTGGCCTTCCTGCTAACTTGAAAATTGCGGCCGTGCATTCGTTACACACACACACACATCCTGCCTTTTATAGAGATTAATTCTATATGTGGCCCAGCTGGTGGCAGTAGGATAGACTGGATTCTATAGCCTTAGGTGGAGACCAGTCTAGGAGGAAAACATATCCAAATTCAAAACTGTATATAACACTGGCATAGCAGATACTATACAACTAAAGAAATGATCGTTCGTATTGGCTCCATAATCCTGACTACAGTGGGGATTTTTTTTTTTTTTTTGCGAGAGTATATTCACTTTAGAGCATTGTGTAAGCCAGCATACGGGAAAAAATATGTGACTCTTTCCTAAGCCTGGGCCAATCGGACCCCAGAAATGCCCCGCATAGTGTGGATTGGTGAATGATATATTAAGCAAAAAAAAAGTTATTCATTTTCCTGACAATCCACGTATTCTTTCTTAAAAGCATTAACACAGAAGAGCGTGAAAATATGAAGTTGATCTCATTTAGCGACATTTTCCGAGGTGCGGCAAAATAAAGCCTTTTTTTTTATTAACTCTTATCGCGTTACTTTTGCCACGCCCTGATTATTCTATTCAAAAATCTTCTAAGAATGATATGACGAAGTGCGCCCTTTGGAAACCTTGCTGAAACCATCTGAGTTTATCAATAAAGCCACTAAGACGCAAGTGGATACTAAGTGTTTATTAGAAAAACTACTATTAATGATACAAGTACAATAAAAAAAAAACAAGAATTAAGACGACAGAAGTATTATACTGGAACACACCTATTCTATAGTTAATAGACTCTCCCACCTATAATAAATAGTAGTAGTAGCAGTCGCGAAGTCGCTCAGTGAGTTGGTCCGAGTTGAGTCTGAAGTCGGACGACCGGCTGACCGGTTGAACTCTCTGCCTTCGGGCGGGGAGGAACCCGAACGAGGCTACGCGGAAGAGCGGAGTCTCTTTCGGGGAGGTAAACCGACCCTGAACCCGTTTATACGGGTTCAAAGGGCATATTTTCGGCCGAGCCCACGGGCTCGGAGATCCGACGTTAAACCGGCCTTGTGACACATGATGCCCTCGTGGGGGGGGATGACTAAATACTCTATGTGAGTTGGTCAGTCAGTCGATGTCGGACATTAAAGTATCAGCCACCACAACTAGATTGCTGTGTCATTAACTTTTATATCAAGTTCCTAACGTTTTGTACGTCGAGCCTTTTTTAGGCCCGATTTACTGAAATACAAGCCTCCACTGTGAAACCGCTCTACAACAAGAAGAAAACTATTGAAATTGCATTTAAATTTTTGAAGTGGAAAGCCAGAAGAGAGTTCCACAAACAAAAAGTGCGACAGAAGAAATTGTTAGCATAGAACTTATGGATACATCGACGCAATTCTTAACAAAGACAATCCTTCTTGGAATATTTTACACTGTTTCTACAGAAACACAAAGACCTGTACCGTATATTTGAAGATCCAAGTTGAGTGGAAAGCTAGAAGCCGGAAGAGAGTTCCACAATCGAGAAGTGCGACAGAAGGACTGTTAGCATAGAACTTATGGATACGTCGAGGCAATTCTTAGCACAGATCATCCTTCTTGGAATATTGTAGATTGGTTCTATAAAACCAAAAACAAAGATCTGTGTCATTTTTTTGAAGATCAAAGTTGACTGGAAAGCAAGAAATCAGTAGCTAGTTCCACAACCGAGAAGTGCGAGAGAAGAAACTGTTAGAATAGAACTTACGGCGATATCTAGCCAATTCAACTGTAAAATGATGAGACCTAGCCGCCAATCTAGTACTGCGCTTGAATTTATAAAGTCTAGTTTCTCATCGGAACAATTACTATGAAAATATTTATAGAAAAAGCACAGTGAAGCAACGTTACGGCAGGGGGGAAAAAGGCTGAAGCCGACATGCCAGGTCAGGACTAATAACATTGCATATTCTTGTTTGGATTTTAACAACTTACTTATAAATATGTAAGATAGATTCTGGCGCGAAAAAACGTCTAGCACGAGACAGTGAACCAAATTTCCGAGCAACAGAGCGGGCATTTGTTTCAATATAATCGTTAGTCCAAGAAGGTGCAATGACTAATTCTGCTTGAGGTTAGCATCAGCCATACTGATGAAAATTAAAAAAGGTTTCTCTCACGATTAAGTGAGAGCAGCTCCGTTTAGATCCGTTAAATGGACAAGCCACTTCTTGCCCCATTTAACAACAGACTGTAAGCCATTTTTGAAATCAGTTGCCAATTTGACCTCATCGAACCGCTCAGATTTACTACCTTTCTTCCTCTCCTGCATTGAATATTTCTTTCTTTCTTTCTTTCTTTCTTTCTTTCTTTCTTTCTTTCTAAAGTAAACTTTTTCATTAGTTATTATTCTATTATCCTCTCCTTTCGAATATTTCGTACTTCACCCTTCGGGATTTCTTCTGCGAAGGACGAGATTAAATGGCTGTGTCATCAGCAAAGCTACCGCGTTGATAACTGATGCTACCAGGAAAGTCATTGGTGAAAAGTAGCATTAACTCCAGTTCAAGGATAGTGCGCTGGTGGACGCATGAGTCAATGCCAAAAGATCTAGAAGAGTGGCCGTTCAAAACAACTTTCATTTCGCGATTTGAAAAGAAAGACAGAATCAGTTCAAAAATTCGCTCAAAAACCCCATAACCTTTCTTTTACTTTCTCTCTCTCATATATCTATCTTCCTATCTATCTATATATCTATATATCTATATATATATATATATATATATATATATATATATATATATATATAAATACAATAAACGTGCAATCAATTTACAAATACATGAATTATTCACACAAAACTAATGCAAAGGTTAATGATTTAAATGGCGAGACATCCATCTCGCAAACAATTCAAATATTACACAAAAACCTCAGATCCGTTATGAATGAATTGATCCTTGTTCATATAAATTTCTGCCGTATTAGCTGTTATTTTTACACAAGCTTTCGTCTGTTCCTACAGACATCTTCAGGTATATAATACATGTTGTTCTTGTTTTTTTCTCTTAGTAATAAGAGGACATCGAAAATATATGTGTATTGTATCCGAAATGCTATTGAAAATGAGATATTGGTTTTTGAACGCGCCAAAGCAACGCTAAGTTTGATTTTGAATTTTTTCTTTTTTTAAAATGTTTGCGTTTATACCAAATATGGTATATAATATATATATATATATCAGATTCTTCTTTTCTTGTATTTCTCTCTTCGGCTATTTGTCTCCGTCTCCATTTTACTGTCATTTTACTCTCTCTCTCTCTCTCTCTCTCTCTCTCTCTCTCTCTTTATTAGACTTTCCTTCTCTCTTTCAGCTACTCTTTTTCCATTTGCCCTCTCTTTCCCAGTCAGCGAGTCTCTTTTACTCTCTCTCTCTCCCTCTCTCACAGATTCTTCTTGTATTTCTCTCTCTGACTATTTCTCTCTCCTTATCTGATTCATTGTTTTTTCTACACTCTTTCTCTTACCTCTCTTTTTCACCGACTCTTTTCCTCCATTTTCTCGCTCTTTGACAGTCACTTTTTCTCTTTTATTCTCTCCCCCCTCTCTCTCTAGCTCTCTCTCTCTCTCTCTCTCTCTCTCTCTCTCTCTCTCAGATTCTTCTTATATTTCTATTTTTCTTTTTTCCTCCCTCCTTCTCGGATTCATTGATCCTTTTACTCTCGTTCCTATTGATTAGATTGTCCCTCTCTCTTTCTTAGTTTTCTCTCTCTTTCCCTGTCACTTTTACTCTCTCTCTCTCTCTCTCTCTCTCTCTCTCTTACTTTCTCTCAGATTCTTCTTGTATTTCCCTCTTAGACTATTCCTCTCTTTTCCTCCCCCCTCATCGAATTCATTGATCCTTTTACCCTCTTTCTCTCTATTAGACTTTCCCTCTCTCTTTCTTCATTTTGTCTCTCTTTCCCAGTCATTTTTTCTCTTTTACTCTCTCTCTATCTCTTTTTCTCTCCCAGATTCTTTTTATATTTCTCTCTTTGACTATTCCTCTCTTTTCCTCCCTCTTCTCGGATTCATTGATCCTTTTACTCTCGTTCCTATTTACTAGATTTTCCCTCTCTCTTTCTTAGTTTTCTCTCTCTTTCCCTGTCTCTCTCTCTCTCTCTCTTACTTTCTCTCAGATTCTTCTTGTATTTCCCTCTTAGACTATTCCTCTCTTTTCCTCCCTCCTTATCGAATTCATTGATCCTTTTACTCTATTTCTCTCTATTAGACTTTCCCTCTCTCTTTCTTCATTTTGTCTCTCTTTCCCAGTCATTTTTTCTCTTTTACTCTCTCTCTCTATCTCTTTCTCTCTCTCCCAGATTCTTTTTTTATTTCTCTCTTAGACTATTCCTCTCTTTTCCTCCCTCCTTATCGAATTCATTGATCCTTTTACTCTATTTCTCTCTATTAGACTTTCTTTCTCTATTTCTCCATTTTGTCTCTCTTTCCCAGTCATTTTTTCTCTTTTACTCTCTCTCTCTCTCTCTATCTCTTTCTCTCTCTCCCAGATTCTTTTTTATTTCTCTCTTAGACTATTTCTCTGTTTTCCTCCCTCCTTATCGAATTCATTGATCCTTTTACTCTATTTCTCTCTATTAGACTTTCCCTCTCTCTTTCTCCATTTTCTCTCTCTTTCCCAGTCACTTTTCTTTTTTACTCTCTCTCTCTCTCTATCTCTTTCTCTCTCTCCCAGATTCTTTTTTTATTTCTCTCTTAGACTATTCCTCTCTTTTCCTTCCTCCTTATCGAATTCATTGATCTTTTTACTCTATTTCTCTCTATTAGACTTTCCCTCTCTCTTTCTCCATTTTCTCTCTCTTTCCCGGTCACTTTTACTTTCCCCCTCTCTTTCTCTTAAGCTCTCTTAGATTTTTCTTGTATTTCTCTCTCAGACTATTTCTCTATTTTCCCTCCCCTTCTCTGATGCATTGTTTCTTTTACTTTCTTTCTCTCTATTAGAATTTCCCCCTCTCTCTTTCGTTGACTCTTTCTCCATTTTCTCTCTCTTCTCTCCGGAAAGAAATAGTATGACAGATCTATAAAGAAAAAAACAAAGAGTCATAAGAGACAAACTGCTTAAGAAAATGAGAGAAAATAGAGAACGATAAAGAGAAAGTGAGAGAGAGAGAGAGAGAGAGAGAGAGAGAGTAAAAATCTGAAAGAAAGCTATGAACAGAGAAAAGTATTTTAGAAAGATAGCGAAAAGGAATGACTAAGCATTTTTTTTTTTTTTTGTGGTGGTGGTGGCAACGTCTGTTCTTGACATTTGACCTTCGACATTTAAGACGCACTTTAAAATTTTGAAACTGTGCTACGTTTTGTTCCGCTTGCATCCGTTTCGTAAGCAACATATCGACAGGATTGTCCCGTGCCATCGAATTTCCGGCTCGGTGTATTTTCCTCCACGCAAATTCTCCAGCTAACATTTATATATTAACGCAGACAAAAGATAAGTTTTTCTATGCTGTCGACTAAAGTGACTCGCTCGTTCGTTACGCACATATATCAGTTGGTTGCTGTCTGTCTTTTGCGTGGCGAGGGGGGGGGGGCTTTTCCTGAGCTTCTTGATCTACGGACGGACTCAGTGAAGCCAAGTAGTTATACCCAGTAGACAAAATCAAGCGACAAATAGAAAAGTTACAAAGTGGCCGTCAAAATCTTACTTAGACGGAATGGAAACAGAAGATGTAAAAGGCTGATTTAAAAAAAAATAAAAATTAAAAAAAATAAAAACACTACAAATCGATTGAATATCTGTCTATATCTCTGAGACGAGGCATCATGATTACTTGCATTATTTACATTATTCGGACTGTTATCTTCATCTTCATTGCCATATTCACAACGTTTCGGCCGTTGTACGCTTCGGCCTTCATTAGGTGATTGGATCTCTGAGATGAGGTATTATGATTACTTGCATTATTAGCATTATTCAGACTGTTATCCACATCTTCATTGCCATATTCACAACGGTTTCGGCCGTTGTACGCTTCGGCCTCCTTCAGGGGATCAGAATTTGGAACCGAACCCATTATTTTGTCAACCACGGTAGTTGGTTCTAGTTCTACGTGCCATGTCTTCAATATCTGTCTATATGTCTGTGATTAGGTATTATGATTACTTGCATTATTTACATTATTCGGTCTGTTATCCTCATCTTTATTGTCATATTTACAACGTTTCGGTCATTGTACGCTCCGTCCTTCTTTAGGTGATTGGAATTTCGAACCGAAACCTTTCTTTCGTCCACAGGTGTAGATTGTTCTAGTTCCACATGCCATGCCTCCAAAATCTGTCTATATCTCTGAGATGAGGTATTATGATTACTTGCATTATTTACATTATAAAGGGTTCGATTCGAAATTCCAATCATCTGAAGAAGGCCGGGGCATACAACGGCCGAAACGTTGAGAATATAGCAATAAAGATGAGGATAACGCTTTGAATAATGTAAATAATTCAAGAATTTCGATTAAAATATCCACGGATTTTCCCCAGGAGCTACTAATTAGTCTTAAGCCTTTAAAGATATTGGCTAAGATGTGGAACAGAGAACGTCAAATGCCGTCTCCGCATGTGAATATATATTTTTAAATGTTTTATTTACGCGATTTATTTTTCACTCAAGACCCAAGAGCCAGTCAGTATAGAGAGATGTTGAATGAGGCTGCGAGAAGGGTATAAAGAAATGCATATATTGGGGATATGTAGGATATATAACGATCATAATAACTGGGAGAAGCATCATCTCGGGAGTCTGGAACATAAAGTAACAGTTCTGGGAAAGACGCTCTCTCACTGGAACTTCATTCATGAGTTGACCCTGCTTAGATGGTATGGCGGGTCCTAGCTTTGAAAGCTCGAACTGGTGGAACAAAGGAATGTACCTCTTATGAACATTTAGATCTTCTGGATAATGCTGTAGGGTGGACAATGATTCATCCCCCGCAAGGCTGCGTAAACTTGAGAGAGAATGAGCACTGGGCAGATCTACTATTTATATTATTCGGACTATTGTGCTCATTTTTCTCGTCATATTTTTTACAACGTTTCGGCCGTTCTACGCTCCGGCCTTGTTTAGGTGGTTGGAATGTCGAACTGGACACTTTATTTCACGCTCACTGGGGTAGACTGTTCTAGTTCTACGTGCCATGCCAGTTATCAGTTATCTCCTGTTAATTCCCCTCTCCAAGTTCTCCAAGGACACACGGCACAGATACTGAAAGGCCGAAACGTTCTAATAAATATGGCGACAAAGATGATGACAATAGTCCGAATAATGTCAATAGTGTACATATTACCTCATCTCAGAAATATAGACAGATACTGAAATGCCGAAACGTTGTAATAAATATGGCGACAAAGATGAGGACAATAGTCCGAATAATGTAAATAGTCTACATAATACCTCATCTCAGAAATATAGACAGATACTGAAAGGCCGAAACGTTGTAATAAATATGACGACAAAGATGAGGACAATAGTCCGAATAATGTAAATAGTGTACATAATACCTCATCTCCGAAATATAGACAGATAATAATGTAAATAGTGTAGATTTCTCATCTCAGAAATATAGACAGATAGTGGGAAGCTCCAGCCCTGATATAGTTCAGTAATACTTCATTTCTTTGTCTAATAAGAAGAAAATAATTAGTAATAATGAGTAGATTCTGCTAGTGAGAGGTTTGCGACATTTTGCATATGGAGAATTGGCCGCAGTTAAACTGGCAGCTGCTCTCGAAAACGGCTTCCAATGACTTAATGGCGGCAAGGCTTTTAACGCTCCAAAACAAAATGTCTACCATTTAATCCCTATAGAGGATGTTTTGTGTTCTTCCATGTTTGATTCTAACTCATTTACGACCTCTTGGGATCAACGTATTATTCTTCATGACCTTAGTGTCAACTATTTCTTTTTCTTTTTAAGAATGTCACCCCAAGCAAGGCAGGAGTGCCACTAGCATGCAAAGGGTTACAGAGAATGAGAGCAAGAGTAAAGACGGGTGTTTAAGGAAAGGATAAAGAAAAGGACGGGGATCAGGATTAAAGCATCTGAAGATGTCGATTGGCATTATATTTGAAGATTTGAAGATTATAGCTATCAGTGAAGCAAGTAGGAGGAAGGGTGTTCCACTGTAGGGAAGTGCGAGAAAAGAAGCTGTTGGAGTAGAAGAGGCGGTTACATTTAACTGTTTCGACAGTGAAATTGTGGGATCGTGATACCGACCTAGTAACGTCCTGGGTAAGACGATAAACTATATTCCCGTCCTGGGTATGACGTTAAACTACATCTGTGTCCTGGGTAAGACGATAAACTACGTCCAACAGCAAGACCTCTGATCAGAAGTCTTTGAGGAGCGTGGAAACACCTCTTAATTGCTGGTGTTCCCAGGTCCACCCTGATCCGGGGTGGTAGCACTTGTTATAGTTAAAACCCAAACTTGTGTAAAAATAGGTTTTAATACCAGAAATACTTTGTAATAAAAAATTATTACAAGCAATAATTTTTGAAGATACCAGCAATACAAACAGCTAAAAATTCTTTGAAAAAAAAAAATATGACCAGCTATAGATTTCTTCAAGGAAAAATATGGTTCGGTTAGTCATTCGACTGTCTGATCGGTTGAACTCTCTGCCTTCGGGCGGGGAGGAACCCGAACGAGACTACTCCGAAGGGCGGATTCTGTTTCGGGGAGGTAAAACCGACCCTGAACCCGTTTATACTGGTTCAATGGGCATATTTTTGGCCGAGCCGACGGGCTCTGAGATCCCACGTTAAAAAGGCCCTGTGCTACATGACGCCCTCGTAGGGGGGGGGATTGAATATCTTCAAGGAAAAATATTCCCAGAAATAGATTTTTGAAGAAAAATATTCCCAGCAATAAAAATTTTGTCGGCATTAAATAACCCATTGGGGTTGATATGTCGTAAAAGAAAACAAACCATTTCAGAAAGACTGAATCAGTTCAAAAGTTCCTTCAGAAATACCATAACATTTCAACTTGTTAAGATTAACATACCAAACTGTAGAAGACTGTTCCAACTACTGATATGAAAGTGGAATGATTGAATATTGAATCAATTGCTAGATCTACTGATTGATTTGTAACTTTGAAGTAATTCTACACTACAGTGCTATCAATATTTGCCATTCTTTATTCTTTAAATTTTCTTCCTTTATCTTTCAAATTTCTTAAAATTCCTTCTTCATTTTTTAAATTTATTTCTTTCTTTTGTAATTTTCATTGCCTTTGTTACTCAGTTTTCCTACTTGCTTTTAGGAACTTCCCTTTTTTTTCTTTTGCAATTTTCCATCTTTTTATAATTTTCCTGCTTTCTTTTAAAATTTTCAATCTCTCTCTTATTCAGTTTTCCTTGTAATTTTTTTTTATAATTTCCTTCTTTCTTTTCTTATTTTCCTTTTTAATTGTTTAAATTTTTCTTCTTCATCTTTCAAATGTTCCTTCATTTTTTAATTTACCTTTTATCATTTTTAAATTTCATTTTTCTGTTTTAAATTACCTAATAGATTTTAATTTAATTTAGACAGACAGCAAATGAACGGACTGAAATAGATAGACAAACAGATAGATAGATAGATAGATAGATAGATAGATAGACAGATAGATAGATAGATAGATAGATAGATAGGAACAGACTGAGATAGATAGATAGATAGCTAGATAGATAGATAGATAGATAGATATGAACAGACTGAGAGAGAGAGAGATAGATAGATAGATAGATAGATAGATAGATAGATAGATAGATAAGGCAAAGATTTAGATAGATAGGTGGAAATAGTTAATAAAAAGACAAAGGTTGATAGATAGATAGATAGATAGATAGATAGATAGGAACAGA